ATACAATTATTTGCCATAACTTGAACTGGCTGTAATTTAAGTTTAATTTTGAATACTGGTGTGGCTTGAAACGTAGCACAGAGAAGTTATTTTCCACTTTGAACATGCATGTTTTACTGATTTAAATGAGTGGCCAAATCCATCAAAAATGCCAGATCTGTGAACTGTCACAAAACCAACCAAAATCACTTTTTGTGAGCTTTTTGAGATCGAATATTTCATAATTTGTCAGCACCATATAAGTATTCTGGATGTTTCTTCCACAGTGAGCATGCTAAACTATTACTAAACTATTTTATGAAATAACACCAGCCCAAGTTTAATAATTAAACAAGGAAACTTATGTCTGCTTAATGACAAAAACACGTCTTCAGAGACACACATGTGTAGGTAGGTTAAAATATTCTTATCAGTAATCACCGATCAAGGGGAAGAAGTGTATGCCAGGTGTTACACAAATGGGTTTTGATTAAGCTGAGTGTGTAGCAGCATGAAAAGGAGCCTATAAACAGGAGGGATTCTTTGAAAGGATAGATAATAGCAGGAAAAGGGGAAATGGTTTTAAGCTCAAGGAGGAAAGGTTTAGATTGGATGTCAAGAGGAAGTCTATGAGAGTGGTGAGGTGCTGGAACAGGCTGCCCAGAGAGGCTGTGGATGTCCCATCCGTAGAGGTGTTCCCAGGTTGGATGGGACCCTGGGCAGCCTGGTCTAGTATTTAATGGGGAGGTTGGTGGTCCTGCCTGTGGCAGGCGGGTTGGAGCTTCGTGATCCTTGACGTCCCTCCCAACCCAGGCAATTCTGTGAGAAGTGGAGCTAGCACTGCATTGTGCCCTTCCTTCCACAGCGTTCCATTGCCACACAGTCTGTACTCAAGCTGCATACAAAATGAAAAACATCACTAACATTCACATCATAGGTTCATCTGGCATAGCTGTCTCACTGCCTTTCTGTTCCTCCCCTCCCCATGGGTTTCAAGCAACCAGTCCAGGAGCACAATGACATTCAGCCTACCTTTAGCTGTATTTCCTCAATTTGGGAAGTTTTTATTCCTTGTCACACAATAAAGAGCAACTTTCTAACTTAGTGCACTATAGCCCAGAACGATATATGTGAAATCCAAGGGAAAAGTCTTTGTGCAAAGAGAAAAGTGGTTTATTGTGACTTCAGTGACAAGCTTTGCTCCAAGCTAAACTGGAAAGCTTTAGAGCCAGCACTCATTGATTCCTTTTGCTAAACTAATATATTGGTCCTTAAATTAGTATCCTGATTCCTATTGCTAAACAAGCCTACATCGATGCTAAACTAGCCTATATTAAACTCATGGGTTAAATCAGCCTTAATGAAAGATTCCAGATAAAATTATAATTAATTCCTTAACCTTTAATCTGAATAACATCTCAATTCATTAGGCATAAACAAGGAAGGCACTCAAATAAGATATGGCTATTGAGTAGGCATAGGCAGAGAGAAATCTCCAACGTTATTTTTGTGATAGAGTTTGCCACAGATTGTCTTGCTGGAAACTGTTCTTAGCTGCTCCAAGATCTGCAGTTTTTATACTTACTGACATTTTGGCATCCTTTTCTGCACTAAGATTATTCATCCCCTGAATTTTTTGTGGTATTTTTTCTTCACTGACTCCTAAAAATAAGTATGATATTTAAGTAAGAATCTTAATATTTGAGTACCACCTATTGAACTAATTGCGGCTCTGCAATATTTTTCATTTTGTGGACAAAATCCTCGTGTCTGGACTCTTTGCAGATGTTGCTTGGTTCATACCTACACTGATACCAAACTGCCCTCAAGAAAGAGCTTCATTCAGATCGTTCACTTAAAACACTTTCTGAATCCCAATTGCATAGAAAAGTCAAACTAATTGAACTAATTGAACTAATTGAACACAGCCATGTGGCTGTGAGGCTTGGGATCTTGCCTGCCTGGCTGCAGGGCCTCATGCACAGGCAAAGACTGGTCAGTGAGAGATACAGAGATCATCTCCGCAGTGCCTGCTGTGTAGCATCTGTGAAACATGCTCCTCCTCTTAGTCATGTCTGCTGTGCTTTGCCTAGCTAGAGTTGGATTTTTCTAGCAACACCTTAGCAGGCTAACTGGGCATCAAAGCTGAAGAACAATTGAAAGCTTTGAAGTGCAATTTAGAAAACAAAAAATGTATCAAACATGTCTTACTGCTGCTTTAGAAGAGCTCTGGGAGCACATTAGCCTGGGTGAAGCATGAAAGAGCAAGGAATAAAGGTGAAAAGCAAGTTGATGAACGTAGGTGGTTAAATGGAATTAAACGTGTGATTATGTGACAGGCGGGTATGGGTATGAATCACACACCATGCTGCCATTTTAAAATTAATGCTGCACAGAAATAGACCACACTATCATTTTAAATGACACAAATGGGGCTTAACCTTGTTTCTTTTTATCAATCTCGATTGATTATAAGTTTTTAAAGAAGTAGTTAATTGCTAGGAATGCATTTAGCTGTTTTTCAGAGCAAGCTGCTGTTGAAGAATATGATGAGTCACCTAACTGAATAGAGATGTGTGTCATTATATAAGGAGAAAAACAGATTAAAATACCACCCTAATGCCAATGTGCATTCTGATTTTGATTACAGTAAATAGGCTTGGAATGATTTTATTTCATTGCTGCAGAACTTAAAACAGGTTGAAAATTGGGTTAGGCTGGAAGATTTGGAACATCAGCTTAAAAACAAGTTTAAAAAATATTCTTGCTTCTACTGACCCATTGAAAATCTGAATATTTTCTGGTATGAGAAAGAAGAAAGTTCTAAAATGGTGGGTTGTTTAAAAAATGTGGACCATAGCCCTAAGGTGAACACAGAAGCAAACAACTGCTTGTGTTATACGGCTGGCTGTACACACTTTAGCACTGGGATCTGTGCTAAAGGCAGCAGCAAACAACTGTCCATTATCCTTCCAGTGAATTTCTGCCTGGTAATAACATCAGAGCCATTACAATTAATGAGGAGATCCTATCTCATGAAATGCATTGGGTGAACATCTCTGATGCAGCACTCCTTGAAGAGGAAGAAATGCTCTCCCCACACACTGAGATGGTGAGCTTGCTGGAAGCATACTTCTTCAACTCAGTGCTCAGCATGTCGGAATTGGGTATATGTATATAATATTATAATATATGTATTGGATATATATGTATAGAGCAGGGTCATGCCAGTGTGAAGGCACCCGCACCTTTTAAATTAGCCAGGCTTCATCTCCATATATTGGCATCTAACTTTTTTGTTGATGATGAATAGCTGCTTGTTTTAGAATGTCCAGTTTGATCATTTAATTGAAAATAATATTTTAAATAAATAATAGTAATGATAATAAATAACAATGATAATAATAGTTTGACAGCTGTTAATTAGGAAAATAATTAGTCATGTGGCAAAGTGTCAGTTCTCCACATGAAGGAGCTGACTAGTAGTCATCTTGGAAGAGTCTGGTGTCCTACCAGAGCCAGTGAGTACTGCCATACAATAAACAGGCATTGGTTATTGGTGAGTACTTTTCCTTTGAATCACAGGAGATCTGTGCTCTCAAGAAAATAATCAAACAGCAGGCTCTACCCTCTCCTTATGCACAAAAGTGCCACTGTGAGCTTCTACTGATCAACACCAAAAAATAAATGTGTGAGAATAAAATTATTTAGAATAAAGAAAGCTAGTCCTTTGTTGGTTTGATGTCTTAGTTCAGGAGTGGCCAACCTTTTGGCTTGCCTGGGCCACACTGAGTGAGAGGAATTGTCTTGCTCTGCAGATAAGATGCTCCAAAAGTAATACCTTTTATTTATTTCCATGGAAACTCCAAGAGACAAAGAGCACAACACTATTTGATAGGGCAAATTCTCAAGTCATCATTAATAAATAAGTAACAAACCATTTTAATTTTTAATATTTTTCTTAAAACGTTTAAAAAAAGAGGGGAACAAAAAGATAAAAGTAGTGGGATATTTGATCTTCCTTTTGTGAAACTAACACATCAGCCTGGTTCAATGGCAGTGGCTGCAGCTCTTCATGAGGTCTTGAGGTGTTGATCAGAGATTTTTGACAAAATTTTATTCTCTGTGTGCTTCATCCTTGACAACAGATTGCAAATGTGCATACTGTCAAAACATGGTGACATGAATGAGGCATCACTGTGAAGTGAAGGATATTCTTCCTGTTAAGACAGGGATTACAAAAGTCTGGTAAAGAGACATGATCAGATTTTTATCAGAGTTGAATATTTGATTCATTGCCCTGATGTCCCTTCTGATAGTCCTCAGGCTTCCCTTAGTTACTGACTCAGCCTGAACTATCTGTAATGGATAATAACCAGAGAGGTGAACCAGACTAGGGAGACTCCTAGTAATGTCCCTGATCCAGACTCCAGAGAGGCAGATCGCTTCCCTTCATGTAAGGTCTGAGCAACATGTGGGGCCTTCCATCCCTCTCAGAAGGGAGTTGCCTTTACCTTCTTTCCTTCTTGGCTGAGGAGGTTTTGAAGCATGGAGTCAATTGCTTTGCCCTAGGCAACCTCATGGGTGCCACCACATCTTCACTTACCTCTCCTTGAGTTCCATAGCCTCAAACATATCACCTAGGGGCACCTAAGAATCGAAGTAGGTAGGGATGTGGTTTGCCTCTGACACTGAACTGAGAACTGCTTCCACTCCTCCTCCTCTTCTAAATCCCCACCCTCTGCCCAATGGTGGCAGGGCAGAAGGTTCACTACTATTTATGGGGTTTCACACAGGTATTGCAGGGAGTTGTTTCACCAGTCCATTGCCTGCTTGCACTTCCTGGTACTCCTTAATCTCTCCACCTCCTCCTTGAGCTCCACCATCATACGGAGCAGATCATCCACCTGGTCACACTTCACACAAATTATATCCCTGCTGCCCTTCACTGGCAGCAACAGGCTTAGGAACTCCCTGTAGCCAGAGACCTGAACCACCACATTTTTGAGCAGGCAAAATAACAAGTTTGTACCATGCCTGGAGGTACTTCCTTACTGGGATGATGCAAGGAGTGGTGGAAGCAAGCTCTGGGTCCAACTGTTGACCCCAAAAATTCATTTAATATATAGTCCTCTTATTGAGGATGTATCAGATATTAAACTGATATGAACACCTGCTCTTAGCCAAAAGGCCAAGAAGTGATCTGTTGCCATCTACTTGCATCACATCAACAGAAAGCTGCATTAATAAAAATCTAATTAAAAAATACTCTTAAAGATCCCCTCTAGAAGACTTTGTTATTCTCGAGGTTTCAAAAAGCACACTCTTGGTTGCATAATGGGGAAAGCAACCACTGTTGTGGTTAAGTCAGAACCATGCTAAGAGCCAAGGCAGTCTCACAAGAAGCCACATCACCTTAAAGCCACGCAGCATGATGTGCAAGCTGCCAAGTATAAATTGTCTGTTAATACTACACTGTGAATCTATTTAAAGTTTCACAAACCTGAAAGCCCTGTAGAAAATTGCTGCAGTGATTCTAGCCATTATTAATAAAATGTTGTATGCTTTTTTTTCCAAATGCTAGTACATAAATCAATCTGTGAAAAGTTATGAAAAACCTCAGTATCCTACTGAAAATCAAAACCTCCAGCAATCAGGTAACAAAATCTTGATTTTACCAGCAGTTTGTCCTTGGTATCAATGTATTATTGTGCTTTGAGGATGCAAGCACACACTGTGAAAGAGCTGGCCAACACTACTTATCCATTTCCAATGCAAGGCATAATCTTGACGGAGTTGCAAGGGATTACTAAATATTTAGTCAGTAGAAAAATAAAATAAATTTATACAACATTTTACTTCAAATGAGGAGAGGAAATGTCCTGTAATTTTAACAAAAGAAAACAGACACTAATATAAATAAACAAATCAAGCAAAATAAAATAAATTCAATTATGCTTCACATTGTATATTATGTAAGTGTATTGGGTCTATGTGGCAAGGCTTTGTTAGTGGCAGGGACTGCAGGAATGGCATCTGTGAGGCAAGATCTGTAACTGTCTTAGTTCCAGCTGGGATGGAATTGTTTTCTTCAGAGCACCTGGTATGATGCTATGTTTTGGTTCTAGGAGAAAAACAACATTGATAGTACACAAATGTTTATAGTTGCTGCTAAGCAGCATTGTACAGAGCCAAGGCTATTCTCTGTGAAGGGCTGGGAGGGAACAGAACTGGGACAACTGACTTACTCTGGCCAACGGGGTATTTTATGCCATGTGACATCATGCAGAAGGAGTTTTGAAGGGGGTGGGAGTGCATCTCACTCTCTTCTTCTGGTCAGGGGCTAGCTGGTCATTGGTCGGGGGGTGGTGAGCAGTTATTGTACATCACTTGTTAAATACATTTATATACAGAGAGAAAGTCAAAACTATTTTCCTTTTCTTTTTTTTCTATCTTAGCAAATAATTTTATTTCAACCCACCAGCTCTACTTAGTTGCTCTTTTATTCTCTTTCATCTCACTTGGAAGGGGGGCAGTGAGAGAATGCTTTGCAGTACTGAGCTACCTGCCAGGTTAAACCACAACAGTATTCCATAGAAAGGACCTGCCTCGGAACAATCCTGAATAATGGTACCACATGGGAGAGATTCCATGCTCAAACAGGGGAATTGCATGAGGAGGAAGGAGCAGCAGAGAGGAGCTGACTGGACTGAGCACAGACACCATTCCCTTTCCCCATGTACCAGGCAGGGGGAGGAACTGGGAGCAAAGCTGAGAAAGCAAGGAGCTTTTAGTTTTGTTCCTCTGCTTTGCTTTTACTTTACAATAAATTAATCTACCCTAAGCTGAGTCTGTTTTGCCTGTGATGGCAATGAGCAAGCAATCTGCCTGTTCTGAGCTCAACTCATGATCATTTCACCTTATTTTCTGGGGACCGTGAGGAGAAAGCACCTGGGTAGGTAACTGGCAGACAGCCCAGGTCAGTCTGGGACAGTGACGTAGTTGCTGGGGACAAAAATGTTCTCACACACATTATTGTAGGTGAAAGGAAATGTTTCATTTCCAAGCTGTTACCCAGTGTTGACACCTGTTTCTTAGAAGACAAGCTGATCCCATGCCCTTTATTTGAGACATACCTTGTTTGATCCTCTAGTAGAAGAGCAACAGAACCTGTATAAAAAGTAACAGATCAAATTTCCAGCTATCACCAGCCAGAAGTGGCAGTGATTGATTCATGAAGAGGAGCAGAGACAACACTGCAACAGGTGTGTGTTTGCACCAGCTTGACATGTTCTTGCCTTGCAAGGCATGTTGCTCTTGCAGCAGTAGGCAGAGCAGCTTGCTGTAAGCTGATTGCTTGAGATGAGCAGTTCTCCGTCCCCGCTGTGATAAAATCTCAGGTGGCTATGCCTATCAGATGGATGGCAATGGGTGCTTGCTGTGCCAGTCAGACAGACAGTAAATTAAGCCTTCAGGGTGTCTGAGTAGCAGCACCGAACACTTTATGACAGTTCTGCACTGGACTGATGTAGTAATAAGGTGATAAGTGGCAATATGTTTGAAGGTTGGTAGTGGAAGATCAAAGTGAGGAAATGTAATAGAGTAGTTCCAAGGCTGAGAAGATTAAAGCTTAATATTGTAATTATTTTTTCATTCTCTAGTTAATAAAAATAAAATTGTTCTTTTCCTACAACCTGTGACAAGCTTAAAAGAAACAGAACAATGTTGTCCACTTATGCTTATGGGACTTGGTACTTCCCATCTTTGAAGGAAAGCCTGTCTGCTCAATGCACTGTGAATGAGTTCTGAGACACTGCAGAACAGAGCTCAGGAGGTTTGTTGTTTTTTTTAAATGAATGGATCTCCTATTTTTTTGGAATAGCATTGTGTCCTCACAAGTATATATGAGTTCTTAATGGTATGGCAACTTCAGATATATAAAATTCATGCTGAGGAACTGCTATAAGCCTTCCTGAGGTAGAGAGAGAAGTTGAGTTGGCCTGACCAATTCTATTAGACTCCTTTGGCACCTTATATAATAAACATTTGTTTTGTAATCTATCCTGCATGAATTCCAGGTAAAGCTGTCATTGAAGCATCATGATTCTATGGCAAATTATATTCCTGTGAGTTTTGTGACTAGTACCAAGAGGAAAAGTAAAGGGGCTGCGTAGGCTGTGGTGAAGTAACACAAGGTCTCTTCTTCCCTTATGGTAGATCAGAATTGTTCAAATCTTCCATGTCCACTTTTTGTGGGCTAGTATTGGAACACATGGTCATACAGACATCACTCACAATTAACTCTGAATAAAGCTGGAGGTAGCACACACACAGATGTCATCCTCCCCTGTACTACACAGGAGTGAGGCCAGCTGAAGCCTTTTGCAGCTGCAGCCACATAACATACAGAATTTCAAAACCTGAGAGAATAAAGACTCTTTAAGAGGGATTGAGTTCTTTTCCACTGTGGGCTGGGATGTTCTGCAGGGCTATCGGAAGCTGCCCAGCTATATTTCTCACTGAAGATAGGATCATAAAGTATTTCTGAACAGACAGTGCCTGAACCACTGAATAACTCAGGTTGGAAGGTTTAATGAAAGGTCATCAAGTTCCAACCTCCCTGCCATGGGTAGGGTTGCCAGCCATAAGATGAGGCTGCCAGGGCCCCTCCAACCCAGCCTTGAATATCTCCAGGGGTAGAGGCAGCTTCTCTGAACAACCTGTTCCCCACCAGGGCCTCACCACACTCAGAGTAAAGAATTTCTTAACATTTAACCTAGGTGTGCCCTCTCTTAGTTTAAAGCCATCCCACCTCGACATGTCATTTATCAGACTGTGGAAAAAGTTGCTTCCCCTCCTGCGTATAAGCTCCCTTCAAGTACTGCAAAACCACAATGAGGTCTTGTAACTCTCTTCATAATAAAGAAATCATAGCAGAAGGCAAGACCATCTCATGCATATTAAGAAAATAAAAATGCAAATCTATCTCACTCATTGAAAGAGAGATAGGATCTTCTCAGACATGCAACAGTTTCAAAAGCCTTAATTCCCAGCTGCAGTGGAGATGCAGACAGCATCTGTACCTAGTAAAATGGTAAATGTAGCACCTGGGAAATGCGAAGAATGGACACTGATGACTTTTGGAAAGAACATTCATGTTCCACCTAAAGGCCCATAGCTATCAAATTTGGTGAAGAGGAGCAAGGTTTGCTCTCAAGCCAGGCATCACAGCAGACCATTAGGAGCGCAGCAGAAAGAAGCAAGTGATAGTAGTGGGCAACTCCCTCCTTCCAGGGACAGACACCCCTCCACCAACCCGACCTACTGTCTGCAGAAGTCCGCTCCTTGCTGGGTCCCAAACAGGTTTGGGTTGTAGTAGAAAGAGTGCTGAGGCTTGTCCAACCCTCTAACTGCTATCATAGAATGGCTTGGGTTGGAAGTGATTCTGCCAAGGACAATGTGAACAGTATCGAAAATGGTTACCAAGCCCTGAAGGAGGTAGTAAGGGGCAGGGGGGTCTATTAGCACCTGTTAACAACTGCTTGCAGAGCTACTGTCAGCTTGCAGCCTGGAAAGCCAACTGTGTTCTGGGCTGCATTCCAAAAGGGGAGGCCAGCAGCGAGAGGGAGGTGATTGTCCCCCTCTGCTCAGCTCTTGTGAGGCCCCATTTGCAATACTGTGTCCAGGCCTGGGGCCCTGGAAGGATGTGGAGCTCCTGGAGCAGGTCCAGAGGAGAGCCACTAAGATGATCAGAGGGCTGGAGCACCTCTCCTGTGAGGAAAGGTTGAGGGAACTGGGCTTGTTTAGCTTGGAGAAGAAAAGGCTCCGGAGAGACCTCACTGTGGCCTTCCAATACTTGAAGGGAGCGTATAAACAGGAGGGCAAATGGCTGTTTACAAGGGTGGATAGTGATAGGACAAGGGGGGAATGGGGAGGTTTAGGTTAGACATTAGGAGAAAGTTTTTCACTCAGAGAGTGGTGACACGCTGGAACAGGTTGCCCAAGGAGGTTGTGAATGCCCCATCTCTGAAGGCATGCAAGGCCAGGCTGGATGTGGCTCTGGGCAGCCTGGTCTTGTGGTTGGTGACCCTGCACGTAGCAGGGGGATTGAAATTAGATGAGCATTGATGTCCTTTTCAACCCATGCCACTATGATTCTATGATTTGGTTTCTATGAACAAGAGAACTTGTCTGATGTCAACA